TTTTTTTTATAGGAATGTAGGGTGTAAAGAATGTAGGGGTTTCGTTCCTGCCTTAACCCGTCACTTTAGACCCTACATTCCTATTATAAAAAATGCATGTTTTAGTACGCTCCACCACCCCTCCAGGTTTGTCCGAAGATCTATGAAACACCCTGTATATTAATAATAATACTTTTTATCCAAAGAATGAGATATTGGTAAGCATATCCAGCAGAATAATTCTTTTATTTCTTGGCAAAACATACATTTTATTGTACTCTTAACATTCTTGATACATCCTTGAAAAAATTGGTGCTGTAAGCATGTGTGTTTTTAAACTTGTATATTTTTAAGATACTGCAGTAAGAAAAGCAACGACAGTAATCTAGCTAGCTAGAAAAATAGAATGCGAATGCGACATATCTTAAATGAAAACTCCCTTCAGAATCACTTGGTTTCTGTTCAGGCTAATAATAAACACTTGGCCCCATTAGCTAATAATAAATTTTGGTTTGCAAATTTAAAATCGTTATTGGCTAAAGCGGTATGTCATGAACATTATGCAGGATTTTTTGTATCATGGCCATTATGCAGCAATCATATAATATGCTTTAATTTTGAAATGACACTGTTTAGGGCAATTTATTATAAGCAATTACAGTACAAAGTCTGTAATCCGGACATCCATTATACGGAATGATCTATAATATGGACCTCAAAGCCACAAACTTTTTTTTCCTATGCTTTACGCATGTACGTTACAGCATGCACATGTATGTTGGGAGGATGTGTCTCCAGATACGTTAAAAATGCTTGCCATAATTTATAACCAGCTACAATATTTCATGGTGAAGATGATAGCCACGAATTTGAAGATTTTCGGACATCTCAAACTAAAGATGAAATTTTCCAGTTATTGGATTTTGTAAAGAAATGGGGAGAAATGGTAATAAATGAAGATGATATAACAGAAGTTTTTCATTGCGACGACAATGCCCCAATCATCAATCAATTAATGGATGACGAAATCTGTAGTATGGTTGTAGATCCAGAAAATACCGCTTCCGATAGGTGGAACTTTGTAACTGAACAAGAAATTATGTCTGTGTATAAAATTGAAGAGAAAGTATAAGCGCAAAAAACGAAGCAACTTAAACAACTTACATTGAAAGAAATGTTTAAAGTAAACAAATAAATATTAAGCTTTTTTTTTTTTTTTTTTTTTTTTTTTTTTTTTGTAAATTTTGATACCCTTTAGATCATAATTGTTCTTTATTTCATAAAATACGGTTTCATATTTTTAATTGTATAATTTCTGCATGCCATCTTACCAGATTTAAATTGATGATCTATAATCCAGAATCGCCGAAGTCCCGACGAGTCTGGATTACGGACTTTGTACTGTACTATTTTTAAGACAGAAAAAGGAAATTAAAATGTTAAAAAACTATTGCAAATTAAAGTTAGTATTTGTCATTTACATGCTTTTATCTTACACATGTGTGTATATTCACATATATGTATGTAATAATAAAAGCACAAGGATACATAAAAAGCATCTTCTCGGCAGGAGAGCTTATGCGGAAAAAGGGGAAAGTTATAGTACTTTCAGAAGAAGAAGGGTGGGAGTGGGAAAGTTTCAGTTCAGAGTTTTGGTTTACAATTAATTTGATTGGACAAGAGGCATCTGCATTAAAATGTTACATAAGATAGAAAAGTCTATAACCTGTGAGAAGAGATGAATTTAGAGGCGGATTATCAAATTTAGAATGTTAATTTTGAGGTTGCCAATTATTTTTTTGAAACAGCTATCATATTTTGTTATATCTTACAGGTATATGTATATCTTTCTATCTGTCTATATATGTATGCATATATGTATATGTGTGAATAAAAATATGTAAAGCAGCTTTATATTTTAATTTAGCAGTAGCTTCTTAATACCACATTTTTAATTTGGGTATTTCCTCTCTGTGTTCTAAAAATAATGACTTTTCTGAACTATGTCATTTCTAGATCAATCTATATCACATGGCTTTTGTAATGCTGGTGACTCAGCTAATTCAGAACCTGAACTCCAAATTTTGAGAACTGTTACTTTCTCTTAATAAGCAGCATAAGCTGAAACCTTATCTTGATGAGCTTCCATATTGGATAATTGTACATTTTAGCTTCTACTTCTTTCCCTGTTAAGATAGTACTTTGCTCTACTCTCTTCCTATTGCAACAGTATCAAAAATGCAAATGTTCTTGAATAGGCAAGATTAGAGTACGAAGTAAATTGTGGGTGCAAATGTTAATTGAAATAAAGTTTCATATTTAACTTTACTCAGCTGCCAAATTTCCTCTTCAGTATGGATGTATGCTCTATGCCAGGGCTTCTTAAACTTTTTTCAGTCATGACACCCTTTCACTGAGATTTTTTTTTAGGACCCAGGATCCCATAATATTTACGAACATTTTGTGGCGCCCCATAAGCATTGCACAACAGTTTTATGTCATTAACTTTAATTTCTAATTTTAAGACATAGAACAATGTGAAAATTTAAATAAGTAACAGATGAAATAACAGCGTCACGTGCAAAGCAAGTATAATGAACGTTTATATTATTAAAAAAAATTAGTCGTAACATTTTTGTTTTTTCTTTGCCTGTATTGTCTTATCTTTATCTATTTTAATATACACTGTGTAAAAATATTTGATAATTGTAAAATTATGATAAGATAGAAATAATATCAAAACTGATAAAAATTTTGGTGACTCACAGTTTAAGAAAACTCTGCTCTATGCCATCAACTATGTCTTTTTCATCACAATGAGTCCAACTGGGTGTTGTAAGTAAATGTGAAATTTTAAAGTGTGTTAAAGAAATAGATCCTGTTTTCATGCTACAAAACTCAATGGAAAATTTATTCCCTAATTGGATTTTGTTCAAATATCTACAAAAGTCAAATAAATATGCCTGCTTATTTGTAAGTATAAGAGTTCTAAAGTCTAGTGAAAACGAAGTGTAGAATTTATTTTGGCGACTTCTACAATCTTTAGATGAAGAAAAAAGTGTATTTTAAATATGAGGTATTTAACACTTAAAAGATTTAGCATTACAGTGGGTAGAAGGTCACCAATCTGAGTTTAATGTGCTTCAAGTATGCGCGGCAGGAAATTACTATTTGCACTCCTGCTTTTCTGAATAGCATTTCGTCATTCAAAAACTCAACATTGTTATCTTCATATGAACTTACTCAGGTTCATTTTCCAATGAAACGAAATTATTAAATGTTGCGGACTCTACATTTTATATTTAATTTTGCTTTAAATTTTGCAGTTTGACTGTGCTATTATGAAACAATATAAAATTATTGTTCAAGGAATGAAAGCATGACAATTCACTATTTTTAAAATGCTTTTGAATGCATAAATTTTGTGAGTATTTTTAATGTTATTTCATAATGCATTTTTAATGATGTTATAGTTTATTTACACTAGCGGTTGTTTTTCAACCTTTTGACTAACATGAACCGTCTAAACAAAAATTGAAAAACTTTAGTACCACCACTATATTTTACAATGATTATTTTTCAGTTTCTCAATAGAAGTATTAAAAAATATATATTTTGGTATTTGCATAACCTGTTGGCTATTTGTATTATATATGCACACATAAAAAATATTAGATTAAAAATTGGTTACCCCTAAAATTTAGTGTGAAAATTGGGCCTGTTTTTGGACAGATCAATGTATTTTTGTCTGGTCATATTTCACTTAGCTTTAACCGTAAATTAGGATCCACTTTTAATGGTGTTCTGTATATGTGTGTGTATATATATATTTCAAATATAACAAGGAAGAAAATCCTTATTTATACAAATACTCTGTGCAAAAAGGGAATACATATTTAATAGCTTTATTTAAAATGCTTTTAAATTCTAAAATAGCGAGTGTGTTATTTTTGAAATCTTCAGTTAGAGTTTGATCATATTTTCATTCTTCATGAGATTTTTTAATTTAATCATTAAAAATACTATGTTTCTTTTTTGCATACCACTTATTTTTCTCTTGCATATCACCAGTTGAGAATCGCTGGTTTACACTAAATATTTTTTTTGTCCTGAAATAGATAATTTGGTCATTCAATAATGTAATTAAAATGTTTTATGGAATAGTAAATAGCTAATAATAATTATTATTTTGAGATTTGAATGCCTAATGTTATTTTTATCTATTGGATTAACTGTATAGCATTATTGAAAGATTAAAAATTATATGGCATTAGAAATTCAAACTTTTCAAATTTGGCTTAACAAGTTTTAAGATTTTATTTATCAAGTTATTAACTTGATTGATCTATTTTTGTATTATTGTTTAAATATCTCTGTATTCATATTTTGAATTCTGAATTATTTTAATGATGAGATTATTGTATAAAAATTTGAATTCTGAGCATTTTATGATTATTGTCAGATTGAAGTGAATATAAACTTTGAAGACTCAGTTTGTTCTGCTCTCTTCCTATCACAAAAGTATCAAAAATTTAAATGTTATTAAATAGGTGCAATTAGAGTGCTAATTAAATTGCGGCTGCAAATGTAAATTGAAATAAAGCTTAATACTTAATCTTATTTGCCTGCGAAGTTTCCTCTTTATGGATCTACTTTCTATGCCATCAACGCTGCTGCGTCTTCTTCAATGTATATGTATGTATATAAGGAAGCAAGAGAATTTTTATGTGTGTAATTCCAAGAAGAGAATGTGTTTAAAGTAATTTTTATTGTTCTATATTATCATTCACTGTTTATTGCATTAACATTTTATTTTATTAGAAGTAGTTATAAAAAAGTTTTACGGCGTAAATTTCAGACAGAGTAACCATTTATTAATTTTATTCTTATTTGTTTTGTATTTTTCGGTTTCTTGAGCAGGTTTTAAAGTTATTTTAAAGGTGTTTTCGTTATATGTGTGTATAAACATATCTATTTATATTATATTATTATCTGTTTGTAATTCTTTAACATTTCTTTAGATTTTCTAGTGCTGCACCGCATGAAGTCATAGTAAAGGGTGCCATTGCAAAACGAATTCCAAAATTTGTCAATTTAGAAAAAGATAAAACATATTCTTGGTGTGCCTGTGGCTTGAGTAAAAAGCAGGTTTAGTTATCTGTTACTTTTTCTTTTTTTTATCTGTAACATATTCTGTTGTTTATTTCTAGTTTTTCATGAAAACTTTCATTTTTTGAAGTTATTTTAAAATGTATCATTAAATTGCATTTTGTTTTAATAATTATGCTCTTGTATTTGGAAATGAGATATTCAATTAATGTGTAATAGGGTAATTACTAAGTGTGTGTGAGAGCTACTCATGTTTACTCAGATATACTTGTATAATTAATTACCTTACAGAAAAGTGTTTTTAGTAAGTCATTATTATCTAAACACATGTGAAAAACTTCTTAATTCAAACTTATTTGTGTAGTAGTTTTATTTTTTAACTTATGACTTCATGAACTTAGACATTTTCTGTTAGGTGGATTTGATCCCTGGTTGCTTGAAAATCCAAACTCGCTCCAGGTTTTCGACCTGTATGAGCATAGATTTTGTATACTCTTCCCCCCCCCCAACCTGGTTGAGTGTGGTGGCAAGTCTGTGGTGTCAAATCTCTTCAAATTCTGCTACAGAATTATCACTGGAGATAACATGCCTAAGATTTTGTGTAACATCATCTGGCATATGTAGCTCTCTACCAAATTTAGGAAATGCAGCAGTTTGGCAGATGGTTTCTCATTTATGAGTATTCATTTCGAAATAAATTGATGGAAGCTTTTCTGCCCAAGAGGAATTTTTATCAGCCACAAGTATGACTAATCTAGGTTTCAAATTTCTCTTCTTTTGCTCTACTGGATTTGCTTGAGGATGATACACTGGAGTGAACACTTGGTCAGTGCTGAAAAGAAAACACACTCTCTGCATGACAGTGCTAAGGAACTCAGTTCCATTATCACTTATTAGCTTCGAAGGCAATCCATATCATAAGAAAACCTCTTTAATTAATGTAATGGCACATTACTTTGCAGTTGCAGAGGGTAAAGCGAAAAGCTCCACCCTTTTCATGTTGCAATGTTCAACAATAAAAATCCATTTTTTCCTATTGTTACTTTCAGATACTGGACCAAATAAATCGATAGCAAGCATTTTGAAACTTTGGCCATACATTGGTGTCTGGAGCAACCTGGATGGCTTTTGATTTGAAGGTTTGTAATGGTTACACTCATCACAATTTTTTATGTAATCTGCGGTGTATTTGCACATTCCTCTGAAATAATACCTTTGGGTAACTCTGAGGTATATCTCTTCAGCACTATTATATCCTGTTGTAAGAGCATCATGATACTGCTTAAGAATTTTTTCTCGCTTATGTATTGGTACTACTAGTTGAGCTTCCTCTGATTCAACCTCTGAAGAATAATGCAGCAAAATTCCTTGATTCATTATATAACCTTGTCTGGTCCAATTAGAAATAATTTCCTCTTTTACCTCACATTTGAAAGATTCTATGACCTTGTTAAGATCTGTATCCTTCAGCTGTTCTCCATTGATTTCTACTGCACTTTTGGTTGGCATATGAATGGTTATTGTGCAAACTTCACATGATTCTCTATCTCTTCCAGGGATGTGTTCCATCTTCAAATTTTATGATTGTAATTGCATAGTCCTCCTAGCAAGTCTACCCATAGGTGACTTTAAGCCTAAAATCGATTTCAACAGTTGGTGATCAGATGCCACAGTAATTGCTTGACCATAAAAATAGCCACTGAATTTACTCAAGGCCCATACAACAGCAAGGGCTTCTCATTGTTTGTAGAGTAATTTTTATCTGTGGTGTACAACAAATGGCTTGTATATTCTACTGAGTGTTCCTCTGAACTCTCTAGTAATAGCACAGCACCCAAAACATAATTACTAGCATCCATCCAAATAATGTAGGGCTTTGTTACATCATTTTGCTTTAAGATGGGAGGGGTAACAAGAAGACATTTTTATGTCTGGTAAGAGTTTTCTTCCTCTGGTCCTCATGTCTAGTTTACATTCTTCATAGTTAAGCTTCTTAGATTACTTAAAGGTATAGCTATTTCTGAAAATTTTGGTATGAATTTTGTATACGAGGAATAGGTCTGCAAGAAAGACCGCACTTGTTTCACATTTCTTGGAGCAGGCATCTTCTGTACAGCAGAGGTTTCTTCTGGATTCACTTATACTCCTCCGCTAGTAATCCAATGACCATTTCATGTTACTACTAGTAAAACTACATTTTTTGTGATTTGAATTAAGTTTAAACTACAGTCTCTTGAAAACTGCTTCTAGATCAGCTACATATTTCTAAAATCTCTGATAGTATTATGATGTCATCTAAGTAAGAGAGGGCATGCATATCTTTTAACCGCTTTGGAATTTGTCAAATAATCTCTGAAAAGTGGCCAGAGCAGCCTTGGTATTCAAACAAACCAGAAAGTTTCCAAAGTTCCAAAATGCTGTTTTGTCTCTGTCTGTAGTGCAAACTCTGATTTGATGGTACCCAGACCATAAACAGTGGTTGTTATATATAGTGTATGTTTAGCAGCATGCAGTAAATCATCCATTCTAGGTAATGGATATGAGTTTGACATCGTAATAGCATTCAGTCCTCGGTAATCAACACAAAATTGGACTTTTCCCATTTGATTTTCTGTCTCCATATGCCAGAAGTACCCCTGGTGCAGCGTATGGAGACTCACATTCTTCTGTTATTTTATTTTTCAGCAGATCTTCAAGCTCTGTCTTTAAAATATCCTTTTTGGCTGGAGACATCTTTTATGGGGGTACTGAAACTCACAGATTATTCCCAGTATTTATGTGGTGTTTAATATAGGAAGTATTTTCTCCTCCTGGTTAGAACAGAGTCTCATATTTCCTTAATGGAGCATTTAGTTTTCCCCTATGGTATTTGGTTAAATGCCTTCCTTCATTTTCCCTTAATTGCTAAGTATTGAATTCTACATTATTTTCTGGACTTTCAGAAGGTTTAGAAACATCATCACTAAAGCTAAATTTATGTTTACAGTCATCATGGAAATATCATCTATTATTTGGAAGGTCTAAAACAATTCCTGCACTATGCAAAAATTCAGTTCCTAAAAGCATAAGGCAAATAAAGTTATTCAGAGAGATCATCTTTCAATTTCAATATCTACTTGGGTCATATAAGTTTGTTTCCTTCTCAAGTCCATCGCTGAGGGTAACATTCATTTTGGTTTTCCCAAATTCTATTCCTCTTTCTCTCAAAAGACGAATGTTTCTCCTGCTATAGTGTGGCTGGCGTCAGTATTAGCATGTACAGTTCTAGTTAACCGGTTTATTTTTACTCTCAAAAGAATCGTTTGGGGTTCCTCCACAGAGAATGTCCGAAGATGTATAGCTCTAAAATCAGCTACTTCTTGGGAGGAATGGAGCAGATGGGGCATTTAGCCTTAATAAAAGCCTGACTTCCCACATCCATAGCAACTAACATGTGGCCAATCATCATTTTTTGCATTATCTCTTGATGAGGCATTTTTAGTATGTTGAAGATTACCTCTATAATTTTTGGAACCATCTCATTGTTGAAACTTAGAGGTTTCCTTACTAACATTTTTGTATCATACATGTCTTACTCCTTCATGCAGATATAATTTGTCAGTAAGCTGAAGTGGGTTCTTCCACTAACTCCAGTTATCCATAAAATGTTCTTTATAATCTGGAGGGGCTTTTTTATTAATCAGATTTGCTAATATCAATTTCTTTAATTGCTCAAACATCATTACTTTTGATTCTTTAAGCCACCCATCAAAATAGTTTCATAAGTCAAAATAAAAGTCTCTGCAGGTGCTTTCTGGATTCTTCTAATGTTGGGTAACTAATTATTGAAATTTCTCAGCACTCAGTTTGAAATGCTTTAAGAGAATTTGTTCAGCTTTCTGATAATCCTGAGCTTTATCAGAGGAATTTTTTGAAATTAGTTTTGCAACATCAGTTGGCACAAGACCAACAAGAGAGACTACGACTTTTGAAATTGTTACCTTCAGAACGGTTAATTGCCTCTCAAACAAGTCTAGAAAAAAACTTATATCTCAGCTGTATTAAGATCAGAATTAAGAATTAACTTGTTCAGTTCTAACTTAAACACTTCTGCATCTACTGAAGAAGGTACTGTTGCAGACTCTTGCCTTTAGTAGCAATAATATTAAATTGTAATTTTAATTTCTCCAATTCAAACAACTGTTCATTTTCTTTCTCCCTATTTTCATTTCTTTCGTATCATTTATGATGTGGTTCAAACATTCTTTTGTAAACTCCATGTCATACATTATTTATCTTAGGAATTTAAGATTAATTTTCTTTAGGATTATAGCATTATTTATCTTAGGAATTCTAAAATTTTCCTCTATCACTACACCTAGTGTCTGTGCTGTTTTTTCCCTTTTGCTAAATAAGCCATGCTGAAATGAAAGTTGATAAATGTCCTCAAAATGTACACCTTTTAGTCTGCCAACATATATAGGGTTTAAAATACTTTTATATGAATTTAGTACAGATCAAACATACATAATCAAAAGCAAAACATAAAACAAAATAATAACTCATTTTACATCACTTTTTGTAGATTTCCTAAACATATGAAATACCATTCTGAGACCATAAGTTGTTATCAAATACTTTCAGTAATTTGCATTAGTGCAAAATATAGCGGCTTGAGACTATATATTTCTATACCTTTTCTGTTGTTCTGTGTTCAAAACAAAAAGTAATTTATTATGTATTTATTATATTTGACATTTATTTTCACCGCTTCATACTGAAACTTGTATGGAACAAAAAAAATTTAATTTTATATGAAATATTCATTCAAATATTATTTTCTTTGCTATAGTAGCACAAAATTCCTCATTTAAATTTCAGCAATACTTCAAAATTTATCTTTTGCTATGAAAAGAACTGATATGCAACAGAACTTGTACGATATGTTCAGGGTGGTTACACTTTGCCTTTAACAGATTTGTATGATCAGTGAAACTGAAATTAGGTCAGTGGGATCAGAATTCTTATATTTACTTGATTCTGATGTAAGGTGACCAGAT